CAACAGAAGCGAACGAATGATGAAAACCGGAGTCCGATATATCCAGGATGAACCATCCATGAAAAATTTTAATGATTTTTTAACTGCCTGGATTCGATCCCGGGTTCACAGAGCGGTAAGCTAACGTTTTAACAGCTTCCGTTCTTTTCTCATAATCTTAAAAATTATAATATCGATGTTTTCATCTTTTTATTTTGTTAAAGTAAAAAATTCTTTAATTAAGCTTTAGCGGTAAAATATAAATGTAAGGTTATAACTTATATTTTATTGAAAAAAATCACACGTAATTCATTTTTTCTAAATTATAGGCTACTGTAACTTTAGTCTTACAATAGCACAATGGGCGCGTTCTTTAGCCGTGTTCAATATCATAGGATTCTAGAAGTTAGCATGGATAAAACAAGATAACTAAACTTAGCAAGAATTCTGCGATGCTGAACACGGCTCAGGAAACAGGCTCAATATTAATTAATTAGTTCCATTAAGCTTAATTAACGTTAAAAAAGGTGTTCTCTAATGGCTTTTTCTGTAATCTCCTCTTCCCCAGGTGTTCTGAAAATGTATACGAAGAAAAGTCACCCATTTATCATGCCCACATCTACAACTGCCTGAAAAGTGATTTCGTCTGTTTAAACACGTGCTGTAGTTTAACAGTCGATCACTCCCAGTAACGGTATGAGAGATATTGACGGCACAGCGACGGCACATACGTTCAGGAATTTTGCGCCCTCATATATTGCCTTTCATGGCAGGACTGCAAACAGCTATTTCCAGCAAGACAGTGCTCGGCCGTACATGGCTAGGAGTCTTTGTCACGTCGCTACACTTGTTTTATCTGCCTGGTCTTCAGAATTGTCGCCATCGAACATTTTTGAGACTAGATGAGATGCCAGTAACGGACATTTAAGAGTGAGAGGGATCTGGAGCGGCATTTGCAGCATCTGTAAACAAATCTGTCTCAGGATAGTATACGGTGCCTGTATGTCTTCATACCCGACTATATCGCCACATTTATTCTGGCAAAAGAAAGCTATACTAGGTATTAAGGGTTCTTTCAAATCGTTTCGTTGTTCCACAGAAAAATGTCCGTTCGTTATGATATTGCAATCACTTATTACTATTGTCATTAGATTCAAATATCTTATCTTTTCTTTCATGTTGGGCGAGAGCTATTAGGCTGTGTCGCCCATGGTAAGTTTCTCGATGGACATGTTAGTAGTTATACAGTATATAGTTTTTGTTTTATACGCGGGAAATAATGCTTTTACTGGAGTCTTTTAAAGGTAACTGACCCCTATTCAAGCGTTAAAGACGTGGAGAAAACCCAGTAAACTCCACGTCCGAGCGAGGCATGAACCCACGACCGAACTCCCAGTGTTTAGGGAACGGAACCACTTGGTCACCGGTGGGCCTCAGCGAGTGTAATTTATTTTTCATATTCAACACTATTGTCCAAAAGATCAACTCAATTTTTTAAAAATTAATTCGAACTCCGTTGTATGCAAATATAAATAACTAGCGGCTGGATGGCCGAGTGGTCAAGGTGGCAACCCACCGCTCTGGGGGACTCGGATTTGAATCCGAACGGGTCAAAAAATCCCCAGGAATTTTTCGGGAGATGGTCCGTTCGGATATGTCGGGCCCTGTCCCTCACCACCCGGCAGTCCCATTGTGGGCCTGGCCGAACCCATAATGGGCTTGCACAAAGAGGCCCTCTTAGTGCCCCACAGGGCGGAAAGAGTTC